CCCGGCGGTCTCGTGGCGGCGGGCTAGCGGCAAGAAGCCTGGAAATTATCGCGACATCGTGACGCACGAGCACGCCCAGAATCTCAGGATACACTCGAACGGGTCCCTGGTCTTTGGACGGGTGCAGGAGGACCACGAGGGATTTTACTTGTGCGAGGCTGTGAACGGAATCGGGGCCGGCCTCAGCAAAGTCGTGCATCTTACGGTGAATGGTAAGATAATTGTTGCCCAAGGAACAATTCGAACGATGTATATTAATTGTGGACAAAGTTCATTTTCAAATGTATGCAAAATAATTGTTTGGATGCATAACAATTTTTACACGGATTAAGCAAAATATAGGGGGACAGACAACTAATCGATAATTGATCTGTCACGTTTCAATTCGTTGAGAAATATTTTGTAAATTTATTAAGAATAAATTTTAATTTTATAACATTTATTTTAATTTAAATCGATAATTTATAAATTATTGATAAGTTTTTCGTTCTTTTTTTGAAAATTAAAGTTAAAGTTAAGTTTAATTACTTTGTTGTATTAGAAATTCACACAATGATTTGTCAATGATTTTTTATATGTTCCACATCGTTCCACGCAATAAGAATCGAATATATGAAAAGTAGGAACTTTCTATTTTTTTTTTTTTTGCTATATTTGATTTGCAAAACTATATTAAAATTAATTTTAATATTTAAGTCATTCATGATATATACAGGCACAATCAAACAGAGAATATCCTGTAGAAAAATAACCATAACTTCTTTTTTTAATACTTAACATTTTTTCTTATCATCTGTTTTCTTTAGAATATCATTTCCAATTCACAAGATTTCAATTATACGTTTGTAAAATTCGTAACTTTTCTAAGTTAATTGCCTGCTACAACTTTTTTTCTACATATACCACGCAAATTTTTTATTTAAAGGTTCAAATCACAAATATTTATATATTTAATCATATTTTATATACATTCTTAGTGAAATAATAAATTACAATAAAAAATTAAATCTCCGTATAAGTGGAAAAAAAATAATTTTGTCCAGTTATCTCTCTCTATTATTCATCGTCCCTCTCTAATCTATCGTTGCGTCCAAAACCATTTTAAAAATTGAATTTCGAAGAAAGCCCGAATTTAATTTTTCTTTCTGTGTACAATGATTTATTTCGATTCTTATTATCATCATCGTGATCATATTAACGACACACAACAAACGCACGCAGTACCCGCCCATTTCGCGGAGAAACACCGTAACCAAACGGCGAGGCTAGGCTCGAGCGCGTCCCTCCGTTGCGAGGCGAAGGGTGATCATCCCTTGAAGATACTTTGGAAGAAGATGGGCGCACATCTGGAGCAGAAACTTTCCGACTATCGGTACACGCTTAAGGAGGAGAACACGACCGACGGCATCATCAGCACGCTCGAGTTTATAAGCACTAGTCGAGAGGACAGCGCGAGATACTTCTGCATAGCCTCGAACGCTTATGGCCGCGACGAAATGACGATCCACCTGTATATACAAGGTAAGAAGATAGATGATCCGGATGCCCGGAAATCGTATTTCCTTCGCGATGACGCGAGGGAAACGGGAGACAATCGGCTTGGAATTCTCCTCCTCCTTGCGGAACGGAATTATTAATGACGGTGTGAGTCGCGTAATGAGTCGAGAGGAAATCGGAGGAGGGGGAGGAAAAAAAAAAAAAAAGAAATAAGGAGGAAATCCGTTTCTCGGGGATTTAAAGACCGTTTTTCACGTGCACGATAATCCACGATAACGACGTTATCGGCTATAACGCATCGACTCGTTGCGACGAAACAATTTCAATAATGTTTCCTGGTTCTTGGTATCTGCGTATAATCTGCTGTCGCGTAATTATCGTAATGTATACCGCCGCGTTTCACGACTCGTCCATTTAATTTAATGCGTTTTTTTTTCGCGCAAATGGCGTGCACGCGAGATAATCGAGCGTACACCAACCGAAAATAAAATATCCGTCTCCCTCGGATGTTTCTGCGTCACGTAACGTATCCGTATCTAGCGTATTAACTCATCGGTTACTGCGCTGCAATTTAACGAAAGGAAATTTTTTTCTTTTTCTTTTTTTTTTCGTTCGTCGATCAAGAGCCGCCTGATTTCCCCCGGAACCTTCACGTGATCGAGAAAGGAAGTCGTTACATCAACATCAGCTGGACGACCAGCCAGGATGGCAACAGCCCCATCACCCAGTACATCATCGAGTACAAGACGGACACCGGTAATCGTTCGTGCATGCTTTCGTTCGTCATCGAATCGAATCTTGGGGAAGATTCGTATTCGAGAAAAAAAATGGAAGAGAATTTTTCGTTGATCGTAACCACTCTACTACTAGCTAGATACTAGTAATAATCTAAGACGCGATAATATAAGACGCGGATTGGTCCGCGGATCGATTCAACAGGTGTGCTTCGATCTCGCTCTTTCTTCTTCCTTTCCTTTTTTTCTTTCTACCCGACGCAATTTATATTTTACAGAAGTGTGGCACGATCACACGTTTCACATGACGGTGCCGGGCAGCCAGGCTCACGCTCACGTGAGCGGTCTCCGTCCAGCCGTCTCCTATCAGTTCCGAATATACGCGGAGAACGAATTGGGTCGTAGTCAGGCGAGCGACGTGAGTATATCCAGGTTTAACACGATTTCGACTCTCCCCAGCAGACATCTCCTCCTTTCCTCTCCGCATCCTCCCTACGCATCCGCCTCTCGAGAGCGGTTCGATTTGTACGAGGGATCGATATTCGAGCCTCAAAGCGATACCTCGAATTGCAATTTTCTCGCTCGTTGAATTCCACCCTGTGCACCGCACGCACGTGGTAATCGTCTCGCGCGTGATTAAGATTCCTGTCACGTATCGCTACGCGCGAGTTGGATCGAGGGGGGAGGGGGATGAACGAAATAAAAATTTAATAATTCGTCTAACGACGAATCACTCCCGACGATCCTTCTTTCCTCCCAGATTTTGGAAACGACGACGGAAGGGGAGAAGCCAGGCGGCCCGCCCAGAAATCTCAAGGTGGATCCCGTCACCTCGACCGAGTTCAACGTCACCTGGGACCCACCTGATCATGATTTATGGAACGGGGAGATACTCGGTTATCACATCGGATACAAGGAACATAGGTAACGATGGGAAGCGCCCTTTAACGACCACGCCGTTCACCTTACATCTCTCGAATACGTTCCGCTATCTCGCTCGAGACCAACCTCTCGGATAACGCGCTCATGTTCTATGCTTTGACCACCGCCACGGTGCCCCGTGATAAACAACCGACGCGGTTTTCTCCTTCGCGCGGTTTCGACGTTGAAATATTTTTGGAAAAATATCTCGTACCGCTAAAAGCAATCCTTCGTTTATCGACGTTCCTTCGAGTTGCGTTGCATCCATCCGTTTCGTTTCAACGCCGCTCGAGACAGATTAAATATATTTCTATTTAAATTTGGATTAAAAACAAGCAGAAAAGAGTCTGGTCGAATCGGCCACGGATTATTATTATAATATTCTGTTTAATCGATTCGATGTAGATATATATATATATATATATCTAGGTTGGGATCGGATCAGTACACGTATAGAACGGTGGAAAGGCGAATTTCCACGGCGAGCGTGGCCCTAGGCCTGGCTAGGATGTCTATGCCCGGCACGCAATACCAATTGACGAACTTGAAGAAGTTTACGAGGTACAGCGTAGTGGTGCAGGCGTACAACGTGCT